TTATTTTTTAATTAAGCTTTTTTTTAGATATTATTTTATTTTTGTAATAGTTTGAATTGAAGTATTATTAAATAATAATTAATTGATATACAAATATTACAATACAAAATTGATTTTAGAGAACAAAATAAATACAAACATTGGTCAAAGGTTATTTATTAAGTTATAGGCAATTAAAGGCAAAGATAAAATGAGATNNCATCACTGTCTTCATTTTTGTCTCTCTTTAATGCAAATTTCAATTATTTATAATTTAATAAATAAATCTTAACTTAATTTAATTTTTGTATATCAACTTTTGTTTTGTTCCAATGTTCTACGAATATATGTTCTAAGAATACTCTGTATATAGTGATGTACAATACACTTCTTATAGCTACTGTTTAGCTCAGAGGTTAAATAAGTTTCTTGACGTGTGATTAATTATCGATAATTATCGACTTTGGTAAAAGAATTTTTTAACAAATTAAAAAAAAGATAGAAGAAATTTTAATTTGCAATTTTGCATAAATAATACGCGAGATATTTGATATATTTTATTTACAACAATATACTGGATATAATAACAATTGAAGACCTTAAAATCTATTCATAAATGGTAAATGAATTTACATTTATTAAAACTGAATCCATTGTTCAGGTTTATCATAGGCAGACGATAAATATGTAACAAGTGTGACACAAATAACCTATAACCCAATATGAATAAACATAAATACAATCAATGTCTAGAATCCCGGTGTAACCAGGATTCTTAAGGGACAATATGAACGGTGAATGAGTCAATCAACGAATAAAATTTCGAATCGAAACGAAGGCCTGGAAGAAGGAAAACTTATCTAAATGAGGTCCGGCTCAGCTTCAACAAGGAACTGCGACAAGTTTCACTGGGCCCATAAGAAAAAAGCAGAGAATGTCGAAGGCCTTGTTAACAGGATCTACGCGTATTCATTTCTGCCATATCATTTTCAACCTTCGATTACGTCTCGACATAGTTACTATTCCAATCGTCTTCCCATCCTATCTTTTGACACAGATTAATATACATCAATGTGTATTTAATCAATGTGATTACCATTTGAGTGATAATTTTAAAAAAATACATATAAAGAATATTTATTGTTCTTTTTTTAACTAAAATGTTTTATCTAATAAAATTTCTTTTTTACTTTTTTTTTAAATATTGAAATCTTATTCTCTCAGTTCTTTATTATATTACATCTTCTCTTCTTTTTTTTTTGTAAAAATTTCATAATTTTATTTTTCTAGATTAATAATGAAAATTAATCCAATTGTATTAATAATTTTTGATTTTAAAAAAACGTATCAATTGCTTTTTATTTTAAAATTCTATTTCTCAAAAGGATTTAGAATCAAATCTAATTTTTCCAAAAATTAGGTTAACAAAAAAAAAGAATAGTAATAAAAATTTATTTAAAGCTGTCAAAAAGAATAATAAAAGATAATAAAATTTTCACTTTTTAAATAAAAATTAAAAAGTTCAGCATGCCTTTCACGAATCTAGAATCTAAAATTCTTTTTAAAATTTAAAGATAATATTAGAAATTTCAATTATCACACGTTTCGAAATTCTAGCCAGAAATACTTAACCGAAGAGAGCACATCACACAGAGATAAAGAGTGCAATATCATTGGCCGAGGTTAATGAAGTAACCCACGAGAGAGATAAGATCGCATATATTCCAAGGATGTCGCAATTAAGCGAAGAGCGTACAAGTGTTTCGAACAACTGGAACGAATGTCAGCTGCACACCAACCGGACATGGAAGCGCCTTCTTCAGAGAGATTTGCATATTGAGCATTGTGCGAGACATTCGCTGCTGGAAACGAGACATCTCGAACATAGTGAGCGAATACTATTCCATGACCAGCGCAATATCACGTTGGATCGATAGTGTGACGTGACACTTGCCAATTTAAAATGGGTCGAATGTTGCATGCACATTGAATTTCATAGCATATTGTATTTTTCAAGTTGGATACTACGTTGATATTAAATAGAAAGCAATTGAAATCATTTATTTTACAAGTATCACAGATTGAAGTGAATTAAATTTGTAAGTTGAGAGGAAGATATATAGGGAGATGAAGGAGGATGTATACTATATATTATTACACACAATATATTAATATTTGAGATATCAAATTATGTCAAATTTTAGATTATTTGGATTTTTAAAATTATCAAAATTAAAACATGTCTTTATTCAGATAGAAATATATAATATTTTTGTAGTTTAATTTTAACCATTTATATACAATATTTAGATATACACATATTAAATATTGTTAATTCTAATGTTAGAAATTATTATGTATTATATTATATTATATATTATTATATGTTACAATTTATAAGTTAGTCTATTTATTATAATTAGACTATGGAATTTTTTTTTATTATTTGAATATAAAAAAATCTACAAAATACAAGATATAAAAGAAAAATACAAAGTGTCCAAAGTATAGTTACTTGTAATATTTGAAAAATAAAAATAAATCTCTATTTAACTTCTTTAATCATATTTATAAAAATTTAATCATAACATGTAATTAATTAAAAACAAATAAGATGTAACATTTAATAATGAAAGATAATAAAAAAAAGTATTTGATAATTAAACTAAGAGTATTAGTAGAAATTTTTTAAATTAAAAAATATCTTTCAAACAAACACAACAAAACAAAACGAAATATTGTTATTTAAAGATAAACAAATTTCCATTCAATCATTTTAATTCCAAACACATGTGAGAAACGATTTAGATAAAGAATTAACACATTCAATGAATACAATAACAAGTTTAAACAAGACTTGTCCATTGTTCCATGCTCATTGACACGAGAAATCGCGTGATTAGACTAGTGGAATGAAAATAGCTGAGGGTTGATAACGCGACCATTGCATAACTTCGTTTGGAGACTATCTTCGACCGTTCAAGGTTGAGAGCGTTAGTTGTACTAGACAGCATGCAATCTGCATTACAATGTCACTCATTGCTATTCGAGATAAACGAGAACGTATATGATAATCGTTTTGCGTAAAAAATTTGAAAAATAGAATATTGAAAATTTGGCAATTTGAAAATGATGGAATTCGGTGTTTTGATGAAACTGGATCGATTAGTAAAATTATGACGACGTATTGCATGAAACAGTGTGCTATGGAAAATATAAAATAATTTAACAAAATTAAGATATTTAATTGTTGAAAATGTTATAAGTGCTTAGCAATCTTTGAAAAATGAAAAGAATCTTTTGAAAAGGATTTTGAATATTGTTAATTCGTCATGTATTTTTTTTTTTTAATGTGATAATTCGATAAATTAATTTTTGGAATATTAAAAATGTATTCTTACAATTTATATGTATCCTTCAATATAATATATTTCTAGGTGATTTTATTTATAATTATAATATTATAATTATATTTCAATAAATTTTAAAATGTTTAACTTCAAATTTTTTCAAATATTGATTTTTAATTTTTTTTGAAAATTTACAAATGAAATTCCAAATTCTAAGTATTAATGTATTTAATGTATGAAATATATGTTTCATGATTTTAGAAATTTCTCTATATAAGAGGTCACAAAGTTACCATCTGTTCGATATCCGTTTTATTAACATTTCTATTTAACCACTTGATTATATTTTTGTAAAAAAATTGGAAGAAATATTAGTTCCTCTTGGAAATATAGGCCATGACCCAGCAGTAATGGACGTTTTAAATTACATTCCATGGCATCATTTTCCTATTTCTTTATATCTGATGGTCATAAATAAATGTTATACAGCCTCATATAAGAAACTATTATAAAAATTATTAAGCGTAAATAAATTTCCAATATCTTACCTATTTAAAAACTATGTAATAAAAATTAACCGAGAAATATCGATACATACAAAAAAAAAAATTACCAATACAATTTAAA